AGCAAGAAATCCAAAGAGCAAAAGGCCCTGCGACTGAACATCAACGCCCGGGAGCGCCGGCGGATGCACGACCTGAACGACGCGCTGGACGAGCTGCGCGCCGTGATCCCCTACGCGCACAGCCCCTCGGTGCGAAAGCTCTCCAAGATCGCCACGCTGCTGCTCGCCAAGAACTACATCCTCATGCAGGCGCAGGCCCTGGAGGAGATGAGGCGCCTCGTCGCCTATCTCAATCAGGGCCAGGCCATCTCTGCCGCCTCCCTGCCTAGCTCCGCGGCCGCGGCGGCTGCGGCCGCTGCCCTGCACCCCGCGCTCGGCGCCTACGAGCAGGCGGCCGGTTACCCGTTCAGCGCGGGGCTGCCCCCGGCCGCCTCCTGCCCGGAGAAGTGCGCTCTGTTCAACAGCGTCTCCTCCAGCCTCTGCAAACAGTGCACGGAGAAGCCTTAAACACACCCCAGAAACACAAAAACACCAATACAACCACCAAACATCAGACCGACCCAAAAGCTAGAGGAAAGCAACAAGCTGCTCCCCGTCCTTTATTTTGGTCCTCTCTTAGTTTTGCTTTCTTTCTTTCTTTTTTTTTTAAACAGTTGCAGGACAAACAAAGCAGAGGCAAGAACTGAAAAGTATCTGAGACAAATTGAACTTTCAAGCTGTGACATCCTCAGCATCTCGGTCCTTGGGGTGGGGAGGGTGGGAGGAGGAAAGTAGAGTTTGGGATGGAGTGCGGATGTCTTTTTTTTTGTGGTGGTGGTGGTGGTTTCTCTCAGCAAAGTGACAACTTTGGTGGCAGCCTAGACCGCCAGGAAGCAAAAGTCTTCCTTCAAGGTGAAAAATAAGTTCGAGAAATGCTGTACTGCTCGTTATTAAGTGTGGGGAGTATTGAATGACAAAATGCCAATCCTAGCGCTGAAGGGGACAGGAGGAGTCCTGGGTTGGAAGGCAGGGGGAACAGAATATTCATTCAGACAAATCAGAAAGGGCACTTGAAAAATGAATTTTGATTCTGAGCCAGGAGGAAAAACTTGAAATGTAGACTTATTTAAGCGGGGGGGAAAACACACAGAGAGACATGTTGCTATGAAAGACTTGTATTTTTTATTGTCTCTGAACTTTATTCCAGTGAAGACGCTCAAAGTTTTGGCGAGAGTGATATAAACACAACTGACTGTGGCTGAAAGAATTGCATTTAGATATATTTATGTGCACCTTGTTACTTTATACTCTGCAATGATGTATTAACGATTCATGGTATTTATTTGTTATTCTTCTATGATCCTTCCACATCAACGGTATTTATCATGTGTTAAGGTCATGGGTCCTATGTGCAGTTTTTTTTAATGCCTCTAAAATTCTGTTTTATAGATTAACTTATACTGCGTGCCAAGTGTTTAAAGGTTTATTTGCCAACAAATATGAAGACAAATATTGATGTATCTGAGCTGCTTAAGTTTTTGAAAGATCACCTGGATATTTTCAGTTGCATCATCCCTGTATTTAAATTGAGCTTTAATAAATTGCTTCAGTCCAAAAATTACAGGAAAGGTGTATTCTTAATTGATGGATGAATTGAGCTCTATTTTGAAAAGGGACTTCTTTGCATTCCAAAAGTGTAAAACATCACAGCAATAGATCCTAAGTAAGAATGAGCTAAGCAAATATTTTTTTCCAGGCTGTGCTGTGCATTTGTAAAGGTCTAATTTAATTGCTTTTAATATATATGTACATATATAAGTTATTTTAACTGTGGAGAATTATTTAAGTTAAAAGACTGGTTTGATTTGCTTATGGTGTGAAATTCTTTGTTATTTTTCTAAAAAAATAAAAATTTAAAATAAATAAAAAATAAAACTAAGGAAGAGCAAGAAGCTATTTACCCAAAGTGAGCTTTCAGTTTTAGTTTGCATGGCTGTTTGTCTGCCTTTCCATCCTATTTTAAAAAATCAAGAAAACCTTTTTTTTAAAAAAAAATGCAGTCCTGCTATTTTCCACTCCTTGCAGATACTACAAATTCAATTTGTCAAGTTGGATGGTGAGTTGGGAGTTGTGATGGATCTATTGGTGGGGTTTGGATGTGTAAAGAATGATATATACATATATATTAAATAGGCCAATCAGACTATGACAGCTATGTATGACCATTTGTATGTGTATTAATGTCAGAAAGAATCTTTATTAAAATATTTTGATCAAACATTTTTATTATGCTGTGCTTTGTGGAAAGAGCAATCACCTCTTTGTTGAAAGGTAACAAAAAAGAAAGGAGTTTCAGAGAAGGTAGGGCAGGGATGCAAATCAGGAGTAGTCTTCATTTACTTACATACTTTAAAAAAGATCTTCAGCTGAGCCAGGCCATGGAAGGAGAGGTGACAGGGGTCACTGGGAGGATGCAGAAGAGGTCCAGAGCTTCCAGCTCTGTCATGGCCTTACAAGGCCTTGCTGTCTCTGGAGTTCTTTTCTACTTGTGTGACTTAGATTAAGTTCCAGGGCCTGCCAAAGTAGGTAAAGTTACTTAAATTTTTAATCAAAATTTCTATATTCAAATGCTTAAAGACCAAGGAAAAGAGATGGATTTGCATTCTTAGAACATTAATTTTATTGTGGATGTCTACTGTTTTGTGACAAAAGAAATGACTAAGTTCAATTATAGGAGTTTAAATAATGTTCATAGAAGTTTCCAGGGCTTCCTGTAGGCATTGCTTGTTAGTGAAATTTTTAAATGTTTGGATTGCGTTGGGCTTGGATTCTGTCAGGATGATGTATCTACTTTTATTTGGAGTTCTATATTGCCCTCAGATGTAGATGTGATTTGTGTTGTAGTAGAGATTTTAGAGATGGCCATAGAGTTGGTGATGTGTTGGTAAAGAAAGTATAGTGTTTCTTCTATCCCCAGTATGCTAAATGCACTTTTGTCTGTATAGCTTCAGCTCATAAAGATATCCCTAAATGCCATCAAACTTAGTGGGGGGTGAGGGAGGATATTTTCTGCTCCACTTGGCATCAAAGAAGATTAATCAGAACCTGTAACTTTTCAGAAAACATAACAGCAAAAGGCCTTGAAGCTGGAGCCCTCCCAGACTAGGAGTGGTGGTAGAGAGAAGGAAAGAGACCAGGGCAGCCCCCAGGCAGGAGGAGACCAGTCTCTCAGCATTTACCAGACAAAGCCTGGGTGCTTCTAATTATGATTATTAAAACAATTTCCATGACGATGTCTAATATTATGTTAATTTGAAAACAACTGTGTATGAAAACTGTCGACTATAATACCTAAATTCATTTAATGAAACACATCGTTAAGGCAATTAAACCTCCTGGATGTGATTAAGAAACATAATTACGACACTGTTCTGCACCATAATTGGGTGTCTTTAATCAAGGGGTAAAGTGATCAGCAACACAGCCATTAGTTTGTATTGTTCTGGCCCTGCTGTCCATCATTCTGATTAGGAATTAGCCACAGCCACCACCAGTAGGATTTTTCCTCCTTTTGTATATACACATCATAGGGGACACATTTGTTGCAGGATTTACTCCTAAATATTTCTCCTTATTAAGAAAACTACTTTGGAATACTTCTCTACAACCTCTGTGCTGTTCAACTCTTCTTAAAAATTGGACAGAATAACAAATCCTGAACTTCAAGAATAAAGAAATGCTCATCTCCCACTCCCCCCCCTTACCTTTTAGTTACAGCCTCCCAGCTTCTCCCTGAACAAACATGAAATGGATGGGGGTGGGCACAGGAGGAGAATGGGGAGAATAAGTTAAAATAGCAGGTGAACAGGTATCACTAACTTGAGTACACCACGGTTAATGTTATGTGTTTTATTTTAGAGATTTCAGAAAAAAAATCAACCTGTCCAGAGCCAAAAGGGGGTGTGTTTGTGATTTTTAAGAATAGCATGAGAATCTGAAAAACAGGATTTTATTTTTTAGGCCCTCCTCTTAACCTTTGCAACGTTTCTTCAACACCAACGTTTGAAGGAAAACAATGGATGGAGAGAGTCCTCTTTCCTTGCCAACAACTTCCTTGGGTCACTTTTCTTCCAAAGTTTTAGTCTAGAATCTTTTCCCTAGAATCTTTTCCCCACAGCTGTGTGGGGTTGTCTAGCCACAAGTAAGCCCATGTGGCCAGGAAAGTCTAAGGACCAGAAGTTTCAGGTGGTCTTAGGTAAATTCTCTTGGAGAAGAGCAGACACCCTCACCCAAGAAGACCTCAGGGCTCCAGGGCTTGCCAGGGTAGAAGGGCCTCACCTGGGCCTGTTCTGGCACCCACTGTGCCTACATTGGGAGCTTCTCCCACAAGTGCCTTACAAGCCCATTTCTGGGATTCCGGAGCTTAGAGTGCAGGTGAGGCCAAGTGTGAAGGCTCAGTCCCACCTGCCTTTCTGTTCTCACTTATGTCTTGTGGCTAGTTTGACGCTGGGCACTGATAGAAGCTTCAGCTGATGACTAGTAGTCAATGATCATCTCGAAAATTTTCTCTAGTTACCCCTTCTACTCTTTCTGTATGGTGTATGGGTGTGTGTGTGTGTGTGTGTGTGTGTGTGTGTGTGAAACTGTGATGCCCCCTCCACTCTGCAGTCCTATACTCTCTCTAAAACCTTGTGTTCTGGAAAATTTCTCCAGAACTTCCCTCTGCTACACCCCTTTTGGTCTTGGACCCTAGAACTGACCCTTGCTATAGGACCCCGGCCCCATGATTAGTCTAGAATGAATGGCATTGACTTTTCCAATGTAATGACTTATGAAAGATATAATCATGTGTTAAATTGAATCCTCCGTTTAACTGTTAATGGTGTGCTCTGGGCACATTTACGTATTAGATGCTATGGTAACTAATTACCACTAGGAAAAGGGATAATACACTCCCCAGACTGAAAAATAATGATGAGAGTTCACTTTCCCTGTCTCGCAGCAAATTGTGGCGGCTCTGCCCAATGGAGCAAGGGACAGAGAGGAGATCAGAGCTCTGCAAGTGTTCCTGGATGGACCGCGGGAGGTAATGAATCCTGGTCAGCCAAGGCTCCTTAGTCAAACCTTTTAATGAGAACGTGATTCAGGGGTATAGGGTGTGGAGAGTGGAGCGAACTCCACAACGGTGCCTCCACACAAAATTAAATCGCAAAACCTAAACAGAAGAAACATAAATAAGTTTTCTTTTAATTAAAATGCAGGTCAGACTAAATTATCCACATGCCAAGCAACTTTACATCAATTAACTTTAAAAAAATTGTTGTGTGGGCAAAACATAATTGAGCCTATCTCCCTGGCGCTCTGCATTGGCATTTATAACTCGAATGCCCCTGAATCTGCCAAGCCAATGAGCTGCAGGTTGATTTAAACTGGGCGATTTAAATCACACGTTAGACACAGTTGGAGGGAAAACCAGGAGACCACAACTTCGGTTCTAAAGGAAAAGGAAAAACAGCAACAACCACCCAAACTTTCAGGATGAGTCCTTTTAGCTGGACCGGATCTCTGGTTCTTGTTGACTGGTGTGTGTACTGGAGAGCAGGCTGTGCGGGAGGTCCGGGAGCCTGTTCGGTCCCAAGTTCTGGCCAAGTCTTTGCTGGGGTCACCTAGTAGACACCCGGGACCAGGGGGTGGTCCTCCACCCCACTCACCTACCCGGGGTTGTAGACAAGCCCGGAGGCGGATTTTACAACG